CTTAAAATTATAATAAAACAAAAACTAAAAGAAATTCCAGTAAACACAGTAACTTAGAAGATAAAGTGATAAATACAAATAAACATAAATTATGAACAAATAAATGAATTTGTCTAGGAAATATTCAAGATCTTTTTCAAATATATTAGTTTAAATCAGTTTGCCATTTTTTTCTTTTTGTAGGTCAAGAAGAATGGAATATCAGCAACTTCATGGTTCGACCTAATTTATTCAAGATGAGAAAAATACTTAACAGGCTAAAGAATGCAGGCCAAAGGTAAATAAGTAGTTCCATATTCTCCATGAAATGTTGATCTTTGAACACACATTCCTAATCATTTTCCATTTCTACACATTTGAAGAATATGACAACACTGAATCCTAACTTATGTTCCCTGACAAGAACCTATTCTATGTTGTGGTTAGATGTGAGCTACAGACCACAAAAGTCCATCCACAAAGCCAAGACTATATTAAAAGTCTGGAAAGTTTGAGAAGCTTGACAATGAACATAGTGTCATGCACATAAGAGCATTGTAGCTCATAGTCTTGGCTTGAAGAGGTGCCATTGGGAGATAAAGAGAGTTCATCAAGGTCTTTTGGGGTAATTAACTCAACTACTCTATATGGCTGCCTAGAAAGTGATGATGAGGATGAATGACATGAACACATTTTGATTACAGCTTTACATACCGAAGAAACAGAGCCACAATAAACAGGACACACACAGGAGTATGGTTTTTCAGTCAAGATCATGGCGAGCCTTAAGAGCAGGTTGGGACATCTGGGTTTGATTCTGAACACATGGCAACCACAGGGAGTGGGGCATGCTAAACAGTAGAAGTTCAAAGGGATAAACAGGTGGAAGGCAGGGAGGTCAGCCAGCTAGGATACTACTGTAAAAGTTATGATGATACTGAATGTGTTTCTGACCCACGCTAGTGGTTGAGGGAATGGGATGAGTTAGTGGGAGGAGGCAGGAAAAGATCAACAGAGTTAGAAACTGTTGGGGCTCCTTACTGAGAGGAAAATGCTGGTCAGCAGAAGCAGAAGACTTAATGCAGGTAATAAAGCCAATGAGAACCAAAAATGTATTCAGAACATTTGGCATTGCATTAAGAAATCTGAAAGTGCAGTATCAGTAACAAAATTCAGCCAGACTTTCTATAGCAGGTAGTCCAGGAATGCAGCAAAAGAATATCAACAAGGATGAGCTTTAATTTGAGTACTTGAATATACTCACACAGGACTGTCACTCTCCAAAGGATTATGCGACACCACTCTCCTAAACATTCACAGTGGGATGGATACCACTTTTCTCTCAAAGCAGGAATGCTGAGTCTTCAACACACTACTTAGTGTGTATGAACTCCCTGTTTTCTACTTGGCCCATGAAAAGTTACGCAAGTTGGATCAATGGGTAGAGGCCTGGCATCAACAGCTTTGACTTAGTTTGCCATATGTTTTCTTTTAAGTGATGTGATACTCACACAACATACCTTTCACTGTTTTAAAGTGAAGAATTCAGTAACAGTACATTTCCAATGTTGCCTAACTACCACATATATTTATTTCCAGAGCTAATTGTTTTTCAAAAGGAACAGTGATATCATTCTTAACATATTTGCTAACTTTACCAACACAGAGGACAGTACACATACTTATTAAAAATCGTGGTCATACTAGTTCTGACCCCTTTTACTACTACTTACATGCACACACACATACATACACACATACACACACACACACACACACTGCTGTCTTAAGCATATTTTAAATGTTGCAGCAGGAATTTTATTCTAAAAATAGGCTCCTAGAGTTTCACAATATTTTAAATTCATAAAGTGAATTGTTCTACTGCTATCTTTGATATAAATCTCAGAAAAGGATGTCTCATATTCCTTTTATACAGGTATCACCTCTAGACTTTTCCAAAGGAACATAAGCTAGAAGAGACTTCAATGTGCCATACATACCTTCTTGGGATAGCTGGTGGCTTCCTTCCCAAATCAGCTTCAAAAAGAAAGCCTTCCACAGCAATAAATAAAAATTGTGCAAATGTCACGATGTTCCCACATCCTGGATGCTTCCTATATAGAGAATAACAAGAAAAAATAAGGCACAGAAACTGACATAGAGAGCACTAAAATGTGTTAAATTTAGTTCCAAAATAACAGGAAGGATAGATTTCTATTTCCCACTGTCTTTCCGTATCTTGCTTTTCACATCCCATGGATCACACACATTTCGTCTTATACCTTCAGAGAATGTCAAGACTTTCTTATTCATTCTTCACTAGGCGTAACAGGCTGTGTGTGAGAGTTATTCTGCCATACTCAATGCTAGAACAATTTTTCATAGTTATGTGTACTGTCCTCTCTGTTGGGAAAGTGAGACCACTCTCAATTGGTGGTATAATATTAAATAGTAATGCGAAAATATACACATTCTTAGCTACACTCACCGGCCATTAGACAAGCCCAGGCATGAGCCATTCTTGTAGGGAGCCAAGCTGACAATATGAAGCAGATTTTTCACTACTCTTAAAAGTTCTGCTGCTTGTCCAGGTTTTCTTGAAATGGACTGCTTTAGATGCAATTTAACAATTTCTCTTCAAACATGTTTTGTTTTCAAAGGGACAAGGCTAAATTTTGCATAAATCCATAAATAATCATAGAAGGCATTTATCTCATTCAAGGAGTTAATTAAAACCATTAGCCTAAATATGAGGGCCAGGAGAAAGAACTTTAATCTAGACGGTCTGTAGCACAGTGCTTTTCAACTCTGGCAGCTGTTCTTTGTAAACCTATACGCTGAAAGAGGCTCACTCTCCCAGGTCTGGTTTCATTGGTCAGGGAAAGGGCCCTGGGATTCTGTACTTTCGAAAGCTTCCCACTTGACCCTAAGGTGCAGCCAGAGTTGGGGAGCATTCATCCAGGTAGGGGGAAAGGACTGAGCATGCATGTTTGTGTACATGAATGAACATATGTGTAAGAGGTACAGGTAATTCTCATGTGCAGACACAAAACTACTGTGCTTCACAGCACTTGCCAGATCCACCTCTGTCACTTACTATGTGAGGGTGGAAGTTAATCAAATTATTTGTGTTCAATCTTCTTATCTTTAAAACGGGAACAATTTTAGTGCCCATTTTACTGGTTTACTGTAGAGTAAATGAGCCAATTCTTGAAAAGCACAGTGCCTGTCACAGAATGCAAAAGCCAAGAGAACCACAATGGTGACCAGAATGTAGGATCTTTTTTATTTTTTTTTGGTACCAAGGATCGAACTCAGGTCCTTACGCTTGCAAGGCAGGTGGTGGAACCACTGAGCTAAATCCCTGGCCCCGAAATGTAGGATCTTGCATATTGAAAGGTCTTCATTCTAAGGACAGCACTTTTAAAAATACCTGACCAATTTTTAACATCTTTAATATGAAAATGATATACTACTGTTGTAGTAGGAACTCAATGAGAAAATACACACAAAGTGCCAAGTATGACTGAGCCCAAAAATCAACTCAAAATGTTCTTTGCATTCCCTTCTGTTTTCTCTCTACCAAAAGCTTGGAGCAATTCAATTAAAGAACAAGTATCAAGAACCTATTTTGCTAGTCAGGTTCTAGCTTCAACAGAGCTCCCAATGTGAATAACTGCTCTTTGTCCTCAAAAATGACAATGGCATGAGAGAACCAAATATAAGGTATGAAACAGTAAGAATCCAGTACCATAGTAGGGACAGACCTTGTGTTATTCATCTCTGTGCTCCTAGTCTTGGGACATACTGTCTGGCCTTCACTCGAGCACATCGATGAGTATCAGAATGCCTTGTTTTAAACACATGTGATCTAGAATATTAGTATTTGTATAGAAGATAAAATGTATTTCAAAAACTGATTCACTTTACAAGTGTATTCTCTCTATCATTTTTTAAAGCATCATATCTGTTTATTTTATGGCAACATATTATTATAACACTTCACTGAGTTAGGTACATCTCCCAGGGCCTTATGCAAAGAAATGGAGTTTGCCTTTACCCTTGTTATTGTTAATATTAAAATTCAGTGGTCTTTAGTATGTTTCTAGTTCCACAACCATCACTACTAGCTATCTTAGGATACCCTCAAAAGAAATCTCATTCCCATTAAGAGTCATTCCTCCTCACCTCTTTAGCCCTCTCATCTTTAACAACTCTAACTTTTGTCTCTTTTTCCATGCAGTGTTTAAATCTTACCCATATAATCCAGGTTTTTAAAAAACCAATTTAAGAGAGAGAGAGCTTTTTAGGAAGGCACATTTAAGAAGACATCTTGTTGTATAGCTATCAGTGGATTTATTCTGAGTCATTCATTCTAATTTTAGTATATGTGTTGCCAAAGCAAGCACTTGAGTCATTCATTCTAAAACTTTAAAAACTTCAAAAATTCCCCCTAAGCTTTGTTCTTTTGAACTTTGTTCTTCAAAAATTATAATCATTAACTACAGACATCTTCTTTTACTTTGAATTATCTTTGGTAAGAATCCAAATTTTTATTTTTTAAAAAAGCAACTTTGAAGAGAATGAAGTGGGCAGATATTCCTTTGTATTTCTTTTTGTAGATATGGGAAACTTCCTTATTTACTTCAACATTAGGTCTTTGATTGAAAACTTAAATGGGAAAAAATGTTTCAGAATGTTTTCTAATGCCTTACCAAGCTAGTTAGCGGGTGTATATGTATCCTGTTTCCAAGGTAGACTGTAAACTCCTTAAGGAGGGGGATCAGGCACTCATTTATTACTACCCATCAGCAGGGCATAATACATTGTGTTTATATTTTATTAATGATCCCAGTTATAGGGATGCAAACCAGAAAGAAACACTTAAATTTGCTTTCCATTTTTTCAAAAAATGGTTAAAAATATTCTCTTCTTCTTGCAAGTCACTTCAGCATTTATATTTTGAGTTCTATTTGCCACTTATTATCGTATCTAAAAGTTCCAAAGAAGCTATATTAAAAGCACAGTTCCTGCTTCATAAAAATTTATGAGCTTTCCATGGTGATATTCATAGATAAGAGTCACAAATACCAACCATATCTACAAAGTAGACCAGGGGCTTAATCAGGTCTTATTTTACTGATCTCTAGCAGAAGTTGTGACTTGCCTAAGCAAGTGAGGAAAAGGCTGTTCTTCAGTCTGGTGTACCACTGATTATATTAATAAGTACACATTACTATTTTATGAAAACCCATGTAGTTGCAAAAATGAAGATTTATAAAAAGACAAAGAGTGATACGTTATGTATAGTCTAAGTATTCTAAACAGTAGATCCTATAATGCACAGAAATGTTTTATAACGTGATAGTTGTCCAAGACTTTTCTGTAACATCTCAGAAAACAAAGTATAGCTGTACTGAAACCAAGCTGTAAGAGAGTAAGGGAAGTCAACTACCAGTGTGCTTCAAGCTTTCTACCAGGTGTGATCAAAATATATGGTGGCTGTTTAAATTTTTTTAAATTATTAAAATAAAAGACTCACTGCCATTAACACCCCTCAAAATACTCCCCCTCACTTAAAACATATTTATCTCATCTTTATTGCCACTGTATGAGGCGCTTCTGGAAGTCCTCTTTCATGAATGTCTTTACTATTGCAGATGTGATTTTTTAAAAATTCAGTGAATATTGCGGCAGAGTGCCATTCACCAGAAAGGTAGCCAAATAATCGGATGACCAATATCCATAAACTGCTCAAGTTCAAAATTAACGGGGAGGTGGAAAAAGATACTGAGTTAGGACTTCACACACCCTGGCTCCCAGTTGTTGTTTGGTGTTCGGCAGGATTTCATAGGTGCCTTCTGAGCACACCTTGCTCCCTATTCCTTCCCGCAACTGTATTCAATACATGCTGGATGCTCTTGGGGGCCTTTGTCATCAGCAGCACTGGCCAGGTCCTAAGACCCAGCCTCATCACTCTAAGTCTCGTTTCTGGTCTGTTCTTTAATTCGCTTTGTGCTGTAGTGGCTCACTGGCCTGGACCCACGGCAGAGGTCCTGGTAACGTCCCCTTTCCATTCCCTACATTTCTCAATTTAAAGACTGCAATACCTTAAAATGGAAAAACTTTCTCAGGTCTCTTGGACCAATCTTTTACATAAGCAATTTATCTGTTCTACGTTACTGAGATGGATGTTTGCGCAAGGTTCTCATAACCACGTACATGGCCAATAAAACCAGTGCTTCGCCGAACAGGGGTGTTGTAAAAACGAAACTGCAGTGTGTACAAAATCGGACTGCTTTATAACTCAAAAAGCTTTGCTCAAGTCAGGCAAGTCCTAAAACCAGGAAGAAGAGTAGAAGTTGGCTGGGAAGTGCAGAAGAGGGTGGCTTGGTGGAGGAACCCTGCGTTCTGCCACCAGCTCCTTGAACCAGTCACTTGAAAAACTGTACAAGCGTCAGTTCCCCAGGGTGTGGAAACGGGGTGAAGGACAGAAGTACTCTGGGTGTTCACCTCACCCGGATGCTGTGAAACTGTTAGGCAGGATAGCGGGCGGTGCTCAGGACTGCAGAGTTTGGGGAAACAGTGGGTCCCTGGCTGTGCATTCAAGAGCGGGGCTCAGTCCATCCACCTCCGCTCTAGATTCCTCAGGCCAATCCCCGGAGCCGGGGTGGGGTTCAAGCGGGTCACTCACCGGGCCAGCAGCTCTAGGAAGATCACGTTACTGCAGCAGCCTGCGAACACCAGGCCCACCGCAAAGGCCGGGCGCATTGCCGGTGCAGGGGAAGAGGAGCGAGCGTGCAAGACAAGCCCCCGCTTATACCGCTAGCCCAGAAAGCCTGCACAGCATATCGCCACAGTTCCGGAGTGTTCTCTCCTCTAGGGTCGCAGCGGTCCTCCCTTTCCCTAAGGCAGCCACGGACTCTGCCTGCGGAAGAACTGTAGTTCGCAATCAGAAGAGGCCCCATTCATCCGAGGGGGCGTCCCCGTCCCGGATGGACTACACATCCCAGCATGCTGCCTGCCCATAGGTCAGGCAGAGACGTAGTCCGCCTTCGTTGGGCGTTCGGCCAGAGTGGGTGGGTGCTTTGCAAATGTTGCGAGATCAGTGGCCGCTAGGCCTGCTGGGAAGTGAAGTTCCCATGCTGTCAGTGGTTCTAGGGAGACCGCCGAGATCTCACAAAGGGATTCGTTCATCATTATCATAACAAACTTCTGGCTGGTGCACTAGAACTACAGACCTGTGAAGGTTCTAGTACCTGAAACAATTATTCTGAACTGAGTGAAACTAGTAATTCGTCCAAACTTATCTCTAGAAAAGCATAGTGAATCCAGAAATGCAGCGACTGGTTCATTTGGCTTTTCAGCTGCTCTTTCAGGCAAAAATTAAATCCAAGCTTCAATTTCACCTTAGGAAAGATGGGAACAGTAATGTCTATCTTGTCTGGTGGATGAGAGTTAAAAGATATGGTCCATGAAAGCCTAACACAACAAATGTATTATTATTTTTGGCAAGGCACCCATCTCACGAATTGACTCGGTTATCCCCTCTAGGATGAGAACCTTCTTTACTTCATTACTGACATGTGCTCTCATTGTGTCTGTTCAAGGTCAGTGCTCATCAAATATTGAATTTAACTGGTAGTAGACATTCTATTCATATTAATTCTTGTGCCTACTCACCTTTCTAAGGGAGCAGTTCACAAATTATAGAATGCATTAGAATTACTTGTGGTGCTTGTTTAAAATATAGGTTTCTAAACCTTATACACAAGGATTCTGATTCAGTAGGTCTGAAGTGCGACCCAATAATCTTCACTTATAACAAGCACTCCTAGATACTCCTGATGTGGTCTCCACGCCACAACTTGGGAAAACCAATTTTGAGGTATGTTATGTATCTTGAGAACACCTTCAAACTGTTCATTCTCAAAAAAAGTAATAACAATAAGCATTTGAAAATTCTTCTTAACTTCCTATTATATATTTTATTATTGTATTCAATTATAATTTAAATGTGTGATATGGTAAATTGCTAAGCAATAGTGCAAACATTTATGCTAGGCACTGGGAAACAGAAAAGAATTGTAAGCATATTGCTTCCATCAAAAACAAGTCATGCAGGCTGGACAAGGTGTGAACACATACTTGACAAAGAACATTGCAGTACTATCCTCCATATATACATACTAACAGCTAATGTTGATTGAATAAGAGTTACTTTGAATAACTCAGACTGTAAATGTTTTGGGAATTCAGTTGGAAAGAGAGGGAAATGTGCCTCCTTTTCATCATTAAAGCTCTCATTGCTGACAGAAGCGCCTGAACACGGGTAGTTCTCAAAGTGTCCCAAATGATGTGACTGTGCAGCTAAAGTTGAAAACCACTGAAATAAAGGCAAGAAATATCTTAAAAGGTTATGATTAGGGACAGTGCCAATAGGTTATGGTTAAGACTGCACCTCAGCATGATTAGATCAAAATCATTAAGGCTGGGACCCATGTATCAGTCATTTTCAAATTCCTCATGTTACTCCAATGTGCAACCAAAGTTGAGAACCACTGCTTTAGTTTAACACCCAGTGATCTTTGATCCTGATTGCATAATAGAATCACACAAGGGACTTTAGAAACACAATTTGTTTTAAAATAAAATACCAGTCCCACTTAGACTTAATAAAGCAAAATACTTGAAAGTCAAGTCAAGCAATGACAATATGCCCACCTCCTCCGTAGGCAACCCTGAAAAGGTGAGCAGAGCACCTTTTCCTCTAATTTCACTGAAGGCAGTTTCTCCTTACACAAACTTCTATTTCCTATAAAATCTGAGATTTTGAGAGCACTTAAAGGATGTTACAAACATCTCATTAAGTATCAGCTGAAACATACCTAAGAAACTGAACAAAGAAATGGCTTGAGTAGCGCAATGGCTGCATATGTTTTGTATCTTCTTTCTTCCTCCATATTTCCGTCTTGACCTACCCCATCACACACACACACACACACACACACACACACACACATAGATATATATATAATATATATGTGATGTACATCTATCTATATATATATATATCATACTAATTATCTGGGATCTTATTAGAATGCAGATTTTGATTTACTATGCCTGAAGTGTGGCCTGACATTCTGCATTTCCAACAAGCAATATTGATGCACCTAAACTGTGGCCCACGCTTTGAAAAGACAGAAACCTTTCCTCACTAGTTCTCTCTGGAAACTTCTCCATCTTTTTACTCTCATTGGTTCAGGGAGCCTTGTGCCACAACACTGACTTTGTGCTCCTCCTTCCCCTTGGCCTACAGTCATGCTCAGAGAAACAAACTTATGTTTCTTCCTCTTTTATTTTAACACCAAATGTCTTTAAAGAGCAATTGATATTGGTAGTTTTCTTTTAAACCTCCAATCAACTTCTTAAACTACTCTTATCAAAGCCAGATTATCGAAAGCAGTTTCTTGAGAGCCTAATGACTTTTAATTGTCCAAATCTTCCACCACAGTCTCATCTTACTTGATCTCATAGTGGTTTCTGACAGTTAAAGGCTCATAGTTCTCTCATATTTCCTTCTTATCCCCGTGTATCGAAGACATGAATCTTCTGTTTCGCCTCTTCTCTTTTCTGTTTCCTTTGCAAAAGCTGAAAGTTCTTCTGATCCCTGAGTTCTTCTCTCAAAAGTCCACCATTATACCTTCTTCTTATTGTCCTGAACACTTTTCGTTGGAGATTTCATTCCTGACTTCTACCATTACATATATGGCTGTGAGCCTGTGTGTATGTATATGTGCAGCTCCAGCCTCTCTAATGTCCTAAATCAAAATTTCCAACTGCCTTGGCATTTATATTATTTACCTGGAAAACCTTCACTATCAGTACAAACATATTTCATCATCTATGCTCCCATACATGCTTTTCTTTCTATTCAGAATGTTACCCACCCCCTCTTCTCTTTGGGAAAAAAATCTGAAAGATTTTCAGTCTTCCTCTCTTTCCCACCACCCATTTATTTGCCCTTTACATCCTGCCAATTCCACTTTTCAATTATGTCTACATTCCAACTTCTTCTTTTCATTCATATTATTCATATCCTATAAAGGCCTCCTGACATCTTGGTACCTTCAGCCTCTGCCTTCTTCAACCCATTCTCCATGCTGCCTCCAAACTGTGTTTCCTAAAACAACCCAGACCCTCCACATCACACTGCTTATTATTCCAAGACGCCTGTCCCAACTAGTCAATATTAAATACAAAAAGCCATCCCAAAATGTAATAGTTTCAAAGCAAAAACATTTGTTTTCTCCCTTACAGTTCTGTGTTTACTTTGGTCAGCTCAGCCCGCAGCTGGTATTCCCCACTGGGGTTTCCCATGTAGTTGTGGTCAGACATCGAAGGCTTACCTAGGTTGATACCCGAGATAACTGAGACAGCTCCATGATAATCAGATTCCCGTGGTTGTGACAAATACCTGAGGACGAAAGATTCAAGGGGGGGGAAAGGTTTATTTTGGCTCATGGTTTCAGAGATTTCAGTCCAAGAACAGCTGATTCCGTTTGCTTTGAGCCTGAGAAGAGACAGAATGTGGCGGCAATGGGAGGAGGAAGCAGAGCAGGCTGCTCATCTGATGGCAGCAAGGAAATAGAGACTGGGAGGAGAGAGACAGAGAGGGAGGCAGGAAGAGAGAAAGATCAGAGAGAGAAACAGAGGCAGAACTTTCTGGAGTCTACTTGTAAAGATACTACTGAGCTCACTGGAGTGAATGCCTAAGGGTGTCTCACATGCTCAGTGAGTACCTCAGGAACAACAGACACAGAAAGAGAAACTCCCTTCTCCTGCAGGTCCCTGCAGCCAGTTTCACTACAGAGGCCTACACTGTACCACTTGGCAGAGGAGAAATGCCCACAGGATCCAGCTCCAGCCACCCAAGAAAGGCCATGAAGGGTGGATCTGGCTGATAGGCTATAAATTGACAACTGAAGCATCAATATTTTTTCAGGAGTGTTGTTAACTTCAACATTTTAACTTGTTTCACAGAAAACCAGGATTATGAAGAACAGGATAACTTCATTTCCCAGACTTTATTTTCTTCTTTTTTCCCTAAGTTCAAAATTCAAATATCTTGGAATGAATAGTGACCTCCCCCCAGCCCTCTTACTTGTAAGGAAGGACCTACTGTTTTGGGAATGTTCATCATCTTTGCCTAGAGTTGACAACAGAAAAACCTGACAAGATTGTTTTAAAATTCAATTTTACTTCAAGATCTGGCCACTCAGACATATTTTGAATCATTTATAAAATCTACTTACCAAGTTGTTGACAAAAAATTAAGTCAGATGACTCCTGTGGGATGCTGCTTGATAACTCTCAGGTTGACAGTCCTACAGAGATCTGTCATTTGATTTTTTAAAGACCTGTTTTCCCTATCTATCATACAAAGATGATTTCTCATCTCTACATCCCATAAATCTTGAGGTCTTGGAGCTGTGCACAGGAGAGGCATACTATAAATATACTTAAGGTATTATTTATAAAGTCAAAATAATCTTGTTGCTTGTTTCATAGGTCATATTTAAGCAATGTTCCAGCATATTGGTAGATTTATGTACTTTACTTCTTCAAGGGTATTATTCAAAGACAATTTTTTTTCAGATTACTGTATTTAAGGAGCATAAGGTTTTGGCTAAGAAAGAAACCATTTTAATCAGAAAGCTAGGGCCCCAGGGCAAGAATTTTATCTTATTAATCCCTAGTGACTTCTGTTTTATTTTCTGCAACTTGTTCTAAGTGCCTCGTGTAAGTAGAATCACATAGTATTCTTTTGTGACTGGGTTATTTCAGTCCTTTAGGTTTATCCATGTTATAACATGTCAGAAGTGCCTTTCTTTTAAAGATTGAATATTCCATTTTATGCATATACAATATTTTGTTTATCCATTTTTCCATTGCTACGGTTTAAAAATAGTTTTAATATGTCACCCAAGTGCTCACGAGTAGCCCACAGCGTGGTGTTGTTGAGAGATGGT